TAGATGTTAAAAGGATTTCCTTTGAGTGATACTGTTCGTTGTTAATAAAATAAAATTCGAAAAATTAGTTAAGTAAAATTGAATCTTGTTTTTACTTTAATGAGCTATATTAGAAACTGTTTGCCTGTCAAATTATGCTAATTATATATAAAAGCATGATTAAAGGAAGGCAGATAATGAAAAAGTCTATACAATCAAATAGACTGTTTTGTTTTTTTACTATTTTCCTAGATGAAGTACATTTTGAAGTTATATGAAGAATATAAAATATTAAATGTTTAATTTGTAGAGGTATCAATTTATCTTCATTAGCTGACACTTTCTATAGTCCTGGACCTGAACAAGACCTTGAGTAGCCCTGCAACACATCATTTTTTGGTTAAGAAAAACAAAGTGAAGCATGGTTGACGGTATACTTTAAAATATTATTATTATGAGCAATGAGTTGCATCAGATACAGAAAGAATAAAAAGAGATTTTTTTTTCTTTCTTTTTCTTTTTCTTTTTTTTTTTCTTTTGCTCAAGATACCCCAGAGGAAGAGTGACCTTAGGGGCTGCTTGCTAATGGCAGCTGGTGTGCCTCTTACTATCTACCCACTACAGGAAAGCTGAGTTCATTCATGCAATGAATCTGATATTCACCTAGAATTCAAATAGTTTCAGGGATGCTTCAAACCGAATAGCAGTTGCTCATCCCATTACATTTATCCTTATGTTCTCCCCTTATATATTCTAAGCTTTGAAAGCTTGTTTGCAACACATTTATGTTTCTTTTCTAATACGTTTCTTTGTGGGTATCACAAATTAATAATGTAATTATAATCATTCTGCATCATAGCGGTACAAAGTAGACTGGTCCTTTCGCACAGTACTAACAGAATGTAGTCTTCTTTGTTCTTACCTCTCTTCATTCATTCTGGTGGCAGTATTTACAGCCTTCTGTTCACATGAGCACGGAGGAATGGGCCAGGGGGAAGGAAGCAGGTGTGGTTTTCTCATGTTATGTGTTCTCCCAGAGGTATCCCTCTGTATAATCAGTGATGTTACTGAGGGTCATGTTTTTACACATGTGAGTAGCATATGGAGGCAGGAAAAAGGTAGAAAGCTGCTAAGCTAAACCAAATGGATGTGGGTAAAGTTAAATAGTGGGTGAGAGCCCACTTTATTTCATTACTTGGATAAACCCTAATTTTTTTTTTTTTTAAGTTTGTTTATTTCGAGAGAGAGAGAGAGAAGGGGAGGGGCAGGGAGAGAGGGAGAGAGAGAATCCCAGGCAGGCTCCACGCCAGCACTGAGCTGACAGCGGGGCTGAAATTCACGGACCATGAGATCATGACCTGAGCCAAAATCAAGAGTCGGATGCTTAACCAACTGAGCCACCCAGGCGCCTCGCTAATCTTTACTTTTATTTTAAAACACATTTATTGCGTTTGAGTTACTGTGTTTATCCTAGAAATGTTATCCTAGTAATCATTAACAAATGATGGCTAATAGAGTCAGGAGTGTGTTACTTCAATGATGTATTTTATCTTCTGGTGACATCTTGTGTTTTCAGTTGATAAGCTCTATGAGCTCCGTAGCAGAGCACTGTCTCCCTTCCTTACTTCGCACCTTGTTTGACTGGTACAGACGCCAGAATGGAACTGAAGACGAATCTTATGAGTACAGGCCTCGATCTAGCACAAAGTCTAAGGGGTAAGTGGCTCCTTTCCCACTCTTCGACCTAGAATTGAAACACTTTCTGTGAAGGGGGTGATAGTGTTTTCAACTGAAGAGAGTTATTGTTTGATTTCTGAGCAAAAATGTTGATTCCTGCTGTTATGAGACTGATAGTAAAGGGAAAGGATAGTCCATACCTAACTGTAAATCAAGGGAAGGTACCAGTTAAAGTAGGTGCCTGCTCCACAGTCCTCACCACTGGGATAGTCACGCAAAAATGAATTTCAAGAGTGCCCTTTCAATAGTTCAGCAAGGATCTTTAATAGTTGTAGACGAAGTTAAGAAAATATTCAGACAAGGTCCCGATTCAGACAAGGTCCTTCCTGTTGTGAAGGGAAGCAACTGTTGTGATCCAGGAGGACTCCCAGACCCTGTATCACGATACCGTGAGACTGTCCTTGGTGCTCCAATCCCAGAACTTGTCTTCCCCCACTTCAGATTTTCCAGAGAGGTATTGGCTTTGCATGTTCAGAAGATGGTCCATAGTTTAGAATGGGGCTTGAGTTGATGCCATTTGTGATTTTTCAACTTAGATATGCAAACAGTTACCTGGCACTGTATTTTCTTTTTTTTTTTTAATTTTTTTTTTCAACGTTTATTTTTGGGACAGAGAGAGACAGAGCACGAACGGGGGAGGGGCAGAGAGAGAGGGAGACACAGAATCGGAAACAGGCTCCAGGCTCTGAGCCATCAGCCCAGAGCCTGACGCGGGGCTCAACCTCCCTGACCGCGAGATCGTGACCTGGCTGAAGTCGGACGCTTAACCGACTGCGCCACCCAGGCGCCCCAGTGGCACTGTATTTTCACCAGAAGAGTCATTACTTTTGTTTCAGCTCTTAATTAAAAAAAATACTAATCAAATATGGAGCAGTGCTAGATTTTCTAAGTAGAATTTAAAATATTTTTGGGGCGCCTGGGTGGCTCAGTCGGTTAAGCGTCCAGCTTCGGCTCAGGTCATGAGTCCGTGAGTTCGAGCCCCGTGTCGGGCTCTGTGCTGACAGCGCAGAGCCTGGAGCCTGCTTCAGATTCTGTGTTTCCCTCTCTCTCTGCCCCTCCCCTGCTTATGCTCTGCCTCTGTCTCCAAAATAAATAAAAACATTAAAAAATATATATATTTTTCTTACTGATTCCTTTAGAATGGGTTTAATTTCTGACAGATACAGTAATGACATGTGTTTATAAATACTGTACAAAATATGCAACAAGAGAAAGAAAATGAGAATATGTAATTACATACATTGGATAGCTTAAAAACAACTTGTACTAATAGTAGGTAACCAATAGCTCTTTTAAAATTTATGGTTTTAAGTGCACTCCTAATTTGGGGTTCTTGTTTCAGGGATGAACAGCAACGTGAAAGAGATTATCTTCTTGAGAGGAGAGACTTAGCTGTAGATTTCATTTTTTGTTTAGTTTTAGTTGAAGTTCTAAAGCAGGTAAGAAGCCCTTTTGTTTCTGCAGAGTCTGTGTTTCTTATTCTTATTTTGCCTTCATGTTTCATTTACCGTATTTAGGATGTTATGTCTACAATTCTGGCCCACGTTAACTAGATTTCTATCATTTAATTACACCTCTTTCAGTCGCCTACGGCTTTCGTGGCCTGCACCTATCGTTTCCCATTCTTTTTACCTTTGTATGCCATCGCAGTTAGGGGATCTTGTTTGCAAAACTGAGCTGAGTAGTAATTGTGTTAAATGTGGGCTTCCAGCTGTGAATATAGTCTCCCTGTCTGTCATTCATGTACCTTAGTCCACTGTCAAAGGGTTTCTCTTCCGAAGGCATCAAGCCTGCCCTCCAACGTGTAATCGTCGTGCGGTTGGAGTTGAGGAATAGGGGTGGTTTGACATGGGTGGGACCAAACTGTCAGGTGCGCATGGTCTTTGGACGAGTGATAATAAGTTTTTTATGTTTGATCAGTGACTCTAGAATGCCATCATTGTTCTCACACTGAGCTCATGAGTTTCACGTCTGAATGGCATAGTCAGTAAAGCTATAAGCATGTAATGTCTGGTATCATGTATGTTTTTACTATTCAAAATCAGTGCAGGTATTTAAATGTATACCCCCCCAAAAAGTATTCTTTGGTCTATTTTTGTTTTTTTGTTTAATAAAGCCAACTATTTTGTTCAAATGCATGAAAGTATTTTTTGCTAGTTTGTAGTCTTTAAAAAGTTATAGATCATTCAAAGATGAACCACATATTTCCAGCCATGCACACTGTAATGTTTTGAAAAGAGTTAGGTAATCTAAAAGAAATAAAACACATTTTGCACATGGCAGGTTTGGACAAGGAGTTTTGTTTTTGTTATGTAAGATGGAATGGAATTTATAACATGAAAACAAACAGCAAATGTGAGATATAAAAGTTAATTGACAGACTGTTTTTTGACATAGGCAATATAAAATTATTTGAATTATGTATTTCTTTATACTTTGTTTTTATGACATAAGTGGAAAATTATTGAAATCTGAATATCTGAAATCTACAAATAAAAGTTTTAAATAGGAAAAACAGAAAACTGAGTTAATCAAAGGTGAAAATCACTTTAATTACTTTGTACCTTTCATCAAAGTTTTTTACTAGATGTAGGAAAGAAATTCCCTCTGGGAGTTGTGCAAACAAGCCCAATTTGCTTTCTGTGATCTCAGTTCAGCCAGGATCCCAAGACCTGAGGCCAAATTAATTAGGGATAGAAGAGAGCTGAGGACCAGAACCGCCACTGACCATGAATGGACTCTGCCTAGGACTCATGCTGGTTGACCTCTAGCATCTCTTGTGTGCTGATGTAGGTCGTGTGAGTGGTATGGTAACCACCATTTGCACTTCTTTGCTTAATTAAATAGTATAGGGTTTCTTCTTTAAGCAGGTGAATTGTAAACTTCCCAAGACATACAGGACCCTCTCTGATCTGGCTCCATTATGCCTTTTGTCCTTTGTTTCCCAAGACATTCTTTGACTCGCCAATCAGTCTCTCCGCTGAAAGTTGCCCCTAATTGTAGTTTCAAAACTTAAGTGCACAGACAACCCTGTTTAGGTTTTTCTCTCTCCTTCTCTTCCTCCCCCACCTCCTCCCCTGTTCTTTCCCCTTCTCCATTGTCTTTGTCTTCATCCTCCTTCCTTCCCCCTTCTCTTAAAAAATAATCCAGATAGGTCTTCTAGTGGAGAAAGCCATAAGGATCTATAAACTTGAGGCCATTTTTTCATTGGGCTTGTTTTTTCAAGTCCATTGCACAAAATCCCTTCAGAACTGTGGTTCACGTGGACTCGGAGTGTGAAAAAAGGAAATACAGCAGCTTTAATAGCTAATCTTTGTTTTTGGTTCCGTTTCCGTATTGTTCCAACCCATAGTAGCCTTTCCACTAGCTCTTTTCTCTCTTTTACCATTATCCTCATACTTTTCATTCAGTTGAACCCATGAAAGAATAAAATACATCACAAAGAACACGGCCATATTTTATTTATTAAAAATCTTACATAGGTCTTTTTTCCCTAGTAAAAGGCAAGTCTTTTTAACTTCTTCAAAACTAATAAAACCCAAGAAAATGAAGTAAAAATCAATAGGACTTTCTGAAATATCATGACAAACTAACCCAATTTTCTACCATGTCAAAGTGATGTAGGGTTTAATAGATCTGGAGACTAATCAATGTAATATATCTTGAATTTAATAGGACTTTTACTTTTGCCCCACATCATAGACACATATTAAAACATGACTCCGTTTTATTTGATGAGATGGATGGCCTCAGGAGTACTGAAGTATTGATACATGGTTGGGCCAGTCTTAAGGAGGAGTAAATATTACTTACGAGTTAGTCCTTGACCTCATCTGTTATAAATTTTTGTTTCTTAAATAATTGGTCATGTCTTCCTGTGTGTTTAGAACTCTTTATGATGCATAAAAGCTCTATATCCTTTGTATCAGCTGGTCATTATAATAAACTGGGAGACCTCCAGGGCAAGTGTTTTCATCAGCTTTGTCATTTCCTTGCTGTGTAACTTGGGCAAGCTATTAGCCACTAACTCTTTCTTCCTCTGTAAAAGAGGGAGGATAACAGAATCCTTTTTGAGAATCATGAGTATTGAATACAGTAATGCTGGGACATGGAACGTGCCCAATAAATATTATCTGTTATTTTCATTTTGCAGATGAAGAAATATTGTTAATTTTGTGACTCACTGATGATTATAAAGCTAGTTCAGTTTCTCCTCCCAAACTTTTTCTCCTGTTAATAATAAAAATATTGGTAAAATCAGTGATACAGAATTAGGTGAAATGGCCAGCATCTTGGAAAATTAAATTAAAGTTTTAATTATAACACGTTAGACAAAGAATTGAGTTCGTATAAATGAGATGAAATTAGTATGATTCACTGTGGGAACAGAATTAATTCAAGATGGTAGAGGACTGATTTTATTTTTTCAAGAAAGTCAAACATAATTTGGGGGTCATGGCCAACTGCAAATTGTAGCAGGTTACTACCAAAGGCTTTCAAATCCATGATAAAAGCATGTTTAAGCAGCAACATAAACATTTAGAAAGTTTGAAGCAGTTTTCTTTTCATTTAAATTTTAGTCAGACATTTACTCATTGAAACAAATAAGATTGGAAAACTTGGTTTGTGACCACTGCCAACTCTTGGCTTAGTTTTATTAGTGCTGTTATGAAGTATCAGAAGGTGGAGTACCTCCTTAGTATTTTCAGATTTAACATTAGCATCTTAGACGTGGATGAGTATCCCTGAAGGGTATGCAGTGATTTGTGGTTTTTCTGAGGCTGAATGTGTTCATTCCCCTTTGCATTGAGGACTGGCCGTTTAGGTAATGAATGAACTTTGCTGACTCCCCAGTATCCAAATCTCAGCCTGATTTTATTGTTTTTCACTTTCAAGATGTGATAAAAGCATTAAAGCTTGAGAGGTGGTAGTGGGAATAGCCTTGGAATAAAACGTGGGTATTCCTTTTTTTTGTTTGTTTTTCTAATTTTTTATTTGTTTAAGTAATCTCTATAGGCAATGGGGGCTTGAACTCATGATCCCGAGGTCAAGAGTTGCATGCTCCTCTGACCAAGCCAGCCAGGCACCCCTGGGTGCTCTTCAGAGTCTACTAGATATATCCTTCTTGAATGTTGAAGTCGAGTTAGAGCGGCTTCTAAAATCACACAAGTGACAAGATCTGAAAAGCCTGGATACTGTGAGTGGGAATATTACTCCATGAAAGGAGAACTTTTTCTCTATAAACCCAAGTGGGATTCTTCCCCATCCCTGCCACCTTGTGTTTGAGATTCAGTTTGGGAGTATTTTTATTATTATTACTGTTATTATTGAAAATAAGGGGTGAAGTGTAGGGATTGTAAGAATGTCTGTGCATCCTGATAATGTTCATTCTTAAAATGTTTAGAGGTTGTGCTTGTTTTCTTCCAAAAATTAGAGAAAAGATGTATTTCTCCTTTCATTTCCTGTTTCTGTGGGTTTTGTTTTTGTTTTTGGCTATAATATGATAAAACTGGAAGTTTTTCTTTCCTTATGTGTTTCCTTTATTAAATGCATTTTGATAGCGCACAGTGTATTCTAGAGAGGTACACACCCAACTTCTGAACTTCGGTTCCCTCATCTGTCAAATAGGAGACAAATACCTACCTTGTAAGACTAAGTATTACAAACGCTATTTATATAAATCCTTAACTAATACCTGCCATGCAGACACATAAAAAGTGTTGATGGTGGCGATCGTTGGGTAGTAAGTAATAAAGAGTACACAGCGTGGCTAAGTAGTGTCCCTAGCTGTCATTGTCAGACTTGAGGCATAGCTAGACCAAATGAAACTGGTCAGGAGAAATTATAGGTTTACGTTAACTTGTATTTCATATGTCTGGCCTGGAGCACATTAAACATCCCTGTGAGGAAAGCAATATGGTAAAACCACAACACAGCACAGTAAGTGGAATATAAAAAATTAGATCACAGAAATGCAGTGTTGCATTATTGCAAGGTCAGTGAAGTGTCTGGGGCCAGCCCATATGACTAGCACCATGAATTCTGGAATAAGTTCCAGAAGTCAGGCTGACTGATCCAAGACTAGCCTATTCCTGACTAAAGTTTGGTATCGCGTGGTGGTAGATATCTGCTCCGTTTTAACTCTCAGTGGGTGGCCACAGGCTGACTGGGATGTATGGGACAGCAGCTTCGATTGTAGCAATGTTTTCATTACCTTTGGGCCTATTTTATGGGCCCAACTGAGGGAAGATCAGGCTGGGAGAATACAGGGCCTCCCTGCTTCTTGAATGGGCCCTGGTTTCCTGCCATTTTTCCCTCCCAGGCTTTGCCTCAGTATCTCCACCCTTATATTCTAGTCCCTTCATCTGCCCTACATTCTCAGAAGGTAAGAATTCTGGCCTAGTCCCTTTGAGAGATAGAAGGAAAAGGTGGGAGGACA